GTGTGTGTGTGTGTGTGTGTGTGTGTGTGTGTGTGTGTGAGGCATGTGTGTGTACGTATGCTGCAGTGTGTAAGTGGGTGTGTTTGAGTGAGGCAGTCAGGAGGGAGAGGAGACGGACAGAGTGTCTTTCATTTCCTACGTCTATTTAAAGACGCTGCCGCTGAGCCACACGGGACGAACGTAGAGCGACAGGACGCCGCTTAGAGACGCCACCTACCTCGATGCTGAAGTAGCCTCTGTCCACGTAGTCCCCGAGGAACAGGTAGCGGGTGCTGCTGGGGGACCCGCCCACCTCAAAAAGCTTCATCAGGTCAAAGAACTGTCCGTGGACGTCTCCACACACTGGACACAGAAAATAAATGTTGGTTTACGTGTGTTCGTCCACCATCAACAGTTCATCAGTGTTAATTATCAGGTGTCCATGAGAGAGAACAGCTGTCCATCATCTTTAATCTGCAGTGTGAGTTTTAATGAATGACGGGGAGAAGAAATATGGAAACAAAACGTCAGAGCAGATAAAAATAGTTGGAGGTCATGAGGGCGGGACACCTAAGCTAAACCATATGTCGGGGGGGCAGCTGTAGAAATAGACCGCTGCATCTGAGACAGTGAAACCACACACACACACACACACACACACTTTACAAATGTCGGGGGGTTCACCTGTGATGGGGGCTTCCACTTCCAGCATGCACTTCTCCTGGCGGAGAATGCCGGCTCCCTCATTTAAGATCCGGAGAGCCGCCTCCTCCTCCAGACGGCCCTCCTTCACCAGATGAGCCTTCAGCAGCTCCACGCTGGGCCTCCCGTCCACATACAGGTCTTTGACCGTCAGGCGTGTACCAGGAGGATATGGCACCGCTAAGAACACGAGGAGAAACATGGGTGAGATATGCAGCACAAAGATAAACTCAAACAGTTTTTATGTTTAGTTTTGTCAACACGAGGAAAGAAACTCAGGAGACCTGTTGATATCGAGCGATACGGTGACCGGTGACTTTGACCAACCAAACCTACTCAACTGATCCGTGCGTCTAAAGCGACCATTTGTACCAAATGTGAAAGGATTCTCTCGAAGTGTTCTTGAGATATCGTGTTCACAAGACGGGTAACATGAAAACATAAAGCCTCCAGCCACTATGTGGAGACACCGCAATTTTTTATTTTCAACAAAACTGAAAAGACCATTTTTATCTCCCGCAGTCAAATAAAAACCCAGAGAAGCCGTTTGAAGTTTATGTGATTAGTCGACTACTATCAGTGTGTGTGTGTGTGTGTGTGTGTGTGTGTGTGTGTCTGCAGTCACTGTTTTAAACATGATTTGTTACCAAACTGGATCTGCACAGAAACATGGAGATTTTTACTGCTTTTTTTTTTTTTTCCCTGTGCAGCGTGTCGAGACGGGACCTGAAGACAAACAACAGTTTGGCAGCCCACACCAGCCCCTGGAGGAAATACCAAGCAGCTTAATTCCAGGAACACACCTTTATTTCACACCGAGCTGTGAAGGACGCCGAGCTGCAGCCCAACTGTTAATGCTTTCATTCAGAAACTTTGAATCTGACAGTGTCAAAGAGGACGAGCAGCTAAACACTGATTCAATTTACTCAGTTGCAGATAAATGCTGTTAATTCTGTGAGATGGACAAAGAAACAGGAACTAATGTTGATACAACACTGTCGTCCAAAGATCGGACGAGATCTTCATTTCTGACCCAATAATTCTGACGCAGGAATTAATGTCTGAAGACAAGGAAACAAAAGCCACAGTTGTAAAAATGAGACATTGCAGACCACTACAGGAAGTGGTATTCAAATAATCGCAGACAGAGTTGCAGCGTTCCTGGCAGAGCCCTTAAACTCATGTCGTCTACGTCCGAGATAACTTCAACGAGAACGACAATTTACAAAAGTGTTCGACACAACACTGTTCACCATTCATTCAACACACACACACTACACACACTACACACACACTTCACTTCACACACTCCAGTTAGACCCATTTATCAAACAGAAACTTCTTAGGAATCAGTGACACATTTTCTGTTGCCTGTGTATGAAGAAATGTTTTCTCCTTAACTTCAGTATCTGCACCAGAACTCGCTCTACTTTACAGGACAGGGGATGGGGCCCACGGCAGAGCTCTGTGCTGGGGCCCACGGCAGGACACTGTACCCACTCCGTCATCAGCTCCATCAATCATGAATGAGGACAGAATCATTACACATGACAGGCAAAGCAGACGGACGCACCGATTCGATTACCATCAGTAACTAAGCCATCGGTGCACGCACAGGCGCATACACACACACACACACACACACGATGCAGTGTTACAAAAGGATGCTGCGATGAACTCATGCAGCTAAGAATTCGATTTATTAGGGATCAATCAGAAGATTAATCATTTCATCTATAAATGTCAGAAGACTTCACAGAGGAAGTCGTGAGTTTCTTAACATCGAATGAGTCGAAGCAAAACTCGGAATAAAGAAACAAAAACTATTCGCTCACTGACGATATTTCTGATTATTTCCTTGATGACTCATTCAACTGTTTTGTCGATAAAGTTCAGAATTAGTTCAAATTTGCATAATTCAAACTAGAGCTCTCACGATTACTCATGAAGCAGATGGACATCGAGGACTGAAACGATTGTTGATTCATATCTTTACTATATGATCTCATTCTGTGGGAAACAGCGCACATGTGATTCTATCATCTTTTAATCACAGATATCTAAACGAGGCTTTTCTTAGTCTGAGTCACGAACACACACAATGAGGCTGAACACAAAACGGACCCACCTCTGAAATAAAGACACGTTTAAAACCACGACCTTCACTTTAAACTTAGAGAGAAAGTTTTAATGAGGCGGCTTTTATGGTGACGATTATCAATATCGAGTGATGTAAACATTTCATATTTAACACATCGCCGAGCAGCTTCGTTAAGCTCTTTGGTTTTAACTGATGATGTGTGTGTGTGTGTGTGTGTGTGTGTGTGTGTGTGTGTGTGTG